TTCGTAGTCGGCATCATCAGTGAGCCTTGCCATTCTCCGCACCAAGATACGAACTCGTCAAATAGACAAGCATTTGGTTGTATCCTAATGAAGAAGAGACATTGGGCAACAAAGATGTACAGCCCATCCAGATGTTCATCCTCAAATTCTTATTATCCTGTCGGTTTAGTGGAATTATGTCCGATTTTTTCATCAATACAAGCAATATCAAGGGAACCAAAAATGTTTTACGCCAATTCATTCGAATGCTCGTATGGGGCCGATTCTATCACGTTTGTTTAAGCAACATCTGGCTTTCATTTATAGCCAAATTTTTCCATAATCGCTCTCTTTACGGCAACCTTGCAAGCGAATAGAGACTGTCAGAAATTTAGTGGCTAAACCCTTTTTAATTGCCAGTTTCTCAATTGCCAGTTTCTCAATTGCCAGACGAAGTAGAACAAGGCTCACGTTAGAAATCAGTTTGGTATCCCCAAATGTTGTGAAATGAGTAGACGAGTTACACCTGAACTCAATGGGAAAGGTGTACAAAACCTGTTGGTTGTGACATGGAAAAGATATGTGCGTGTGTGTTGGGATGAAGGTGGATGAGCATGAGAAGAGCTGTGACAGGAGAGCCTTGACAACCGCGAGAACTTGCTGGAATATTGTAGCCAAGTGGAAAAGTCCAGAGTGGGGGCTGAACGAGCGCAACACAGATGGACACCGTCCTAGAGCAAAGAGATCTTTCCTCTGAAGAGCAAGGGTAGTCAGGTGGCTGTGTACTCAGCAACAGATTCGGTGCAGAACTTTGCCTGGAGTAAAGACACTGGGTGATACTTGGAGGTAAGAGTGAAAATTGTCGTTTGGCAACTGTCGTTGCCTATTCGAGGAAAAACGAGTCCGAATGTGGTCAACATTCAGAAAGGTAGCCAGCATAGCTGACCATAAGACGTTGTCATGATGAAGGAATCCCGATTCTAGTATTGAAGCAAGCATGGCAGCACGTGAGCGTAAGAGCTTGTCGCTGCAAAGAAGTCCGATCAAGGTAGGAATTTGCCCAATTTAAAGCATTGCTTGGTGCGAATGTAGGCTTGGGCTTGGATTCAACCGATTAACTCGGCTTGGAGTGTTTGATAGATTCTGAGCTAGGCTCAATACTGCTGGCGTTTTTCTATTGGTCAGGCTTAGAGGTATTCACATGTGGTCTTTGGTTAGGGTGAGCGCTAGCCGAGAGCTGGGAACATACCGCAACGAATCAAAAATTAATCATTTTCGTTTAGTAGTAGTAGTAATCAGTAGTAGAGTACTAAATAGGTTTCGAGACTATCAATTATTCTTTGATCATGACTTGAGTAGCCAAAGTCGTTAAAGTGATTTAACAACTTGTCTCTTTGGCCACCTTTAAGTTGGTGCTAGGAATGGCAAGACACACTGATACTGCCGGGACTATACCAAGCCCATGGTCGGGAATTATCATGACTACCGTAGCAGAGGTCTTAGGGTGTGCCCAACTATGTCTTTTGACGACACGACCAAGTTGGAATAGCGTGATCAAACCAATTGTAAAGAATAATAGATGAGTTTTTTTCACAATTAGAAGAGTATGGCTCAGAATGCTAGTAAATTTCATTTATCCGTTTCTCCTCAAATTATATACCATCCAAAGTGTATTGCAATTTCGACCTCGCCTAGGTCCTATCAGCACCACCAGTTGGATTATATGCCTGGCAGTAAGTTTCGCAATGACGTTTACTAGTCCACTGCATAGCCACGGATGCCAGTCATTAAATCGCCCAGAGTGGGATCAAATTGTTATTTGAGAATTACGGCCAGCCTCGAAACCTACCTAACCGAATTTAGATAACATCTTCGATGACATTGTTAAACACATGTTTGTTTAATCGATAATTCCGAAATAAAGTGTGAGTTTGGAGAGGCATGGTATGTTTATAATGTATCCTCTGACCTCCGCCTCTCTAGCACAAGTGAGTGGGTAGTGAAGGGGTAAACATCGCTTAGATACTTGTCATCCGGAATCGAAACCCGCTGGGGATGTGGGAGAGACTCGGGTGAGGTGTGAACTGAAGTCCAGCCTTGATGAGGTATGCTTTAGGAGGGCAAAACATACATAGATACCATACATATTTATATATAGGGCATCTATTTATATAGGAATATACATATGCTTATATAGAGGTCATATCTTATTTTGGTTGGCTGAGCGAAACTCAGCGACATCATGGGACATTGTGATAAAAACTCAACTATCAGTCCTTAATCGAAGGTATGAAGACCAAGATGGTGTGTACTTTTGTGTGATCGCAGTCTCCTTTCGTTGTATTTACCATGTTCACGGTCCTACTCTGGAAATGATGAATCATACAATGGACTCTGGAATAGGTACGTTCCTCTAAGTCTTCCTACCAATATGACCATGTTGCAAAAACAAGGTCAAACAACCTCTATCAGTTCTTTAATTAACTTTAACAATTAGTGTGACTAAATTATTTTTAAATAACTTAGGCTAGTTAAGTTGAGAGCATGATTACCAAGATGATATGGTCACAATGACCTTTCGTTGTACAGAAGAGACTTGACATTGTTTTCTCAACTTGATCGATTTGTCACAGTGACCAAATTAAACTCCCCTTATTTTTCATTTTATAAGTAGTTTCTCGATACTACCAAACATCTTATATGAACTCCTTTTGTCCAGACTCCTCACCATAGTAGCCATGACCATTTTAAGCGTCAGACAATGGATTTGCTACACTTTGGTTTTGTTTCCAGCTGCAGTTTGGATCCTTTTGGTGCACCGGATTACTTAAGGAGAATCGACCTTCATCCATAAACTTTGCTATACTATTCTCAGCTCAAGTAAAGTAGGACTATCTTATTTAGGCTCGCACAACCTCTTCTCATCTGCACCCTCAGCGAAATTCGATACCGGGCCGTGGACATCGTGGCGATGTTAACATTCCATATTTTAAGTGATGTATGTTGTTACTATAAGATTGCTGATATTTTTGAATCCTACTTATACCGAAATTAAGTATGGTTGTAGATTAAACTGGCAAATGCCTGTTTGCTAATAGGCAAACTATACATGGAATCTGGTAGGGGTCTGGCTTTTCTTGAAATACAAATCTTACCTGTGATTCACTGGAACCGGTGATTGTTTCGTGGAGTGATAACGTCGCTTCGATATTCACAACCCGGGGTACTGCTGTCCCTTAGGCAAGGTCTAAACTTTAGTCCAGTCTGCACGAGATAGTCAAGTGGGAGTCATTGCTAAGCGAAATTCAATGGAATCTTAAAGCTCACTAATCTTTCTTTGAGAAAATTTCATACATCAATCTCTAAATTATATTATGTAAACTAGGATGGTTAACTTCTTATTCCAGAATTGATGTTGATTTCCAAATCTACCAATACCCAAAGTACTCCAGCAAAATTTAATGTTATAGTAAGAAAGAGCATCAATACTTCATTACAATGCTCGTTATGTAGGCTGTAAATACCGTCGCAAAGCTTGTGAATTAAGCTACCTACAATGGCAAACTGCTTAAAAAATAATGTTTTAATAATCCAGTTTCATCTGCGCGTAGAACTGCTTCTGGCTGAAAACGTAATTTCTGCGTTGTATTCAAAGATGATGCAACTCAAGCAACACAGTAGCTGGGAGCATTAATTTCTGCATGTGAATTCACTACCGACTCGCTATTTTGATGTATGTTTGCACCAATCACTCGGCAGTAAAGTATTATAGAAGCGACTATATCCTCCTTGTAAATAAATATAGACGAATTGGTTAACTAATAAAGGAGAAATGGAAACATGCTCAAAGTTCTCAGATTCTAGCATCATTAAATTTCGGTACAAGTCCTGAAGGACAAGGAACAGTCCGCTCCTAAGACAAAATTGTAATAATAGATTAAAAGCTCATTCTCCAAAAATTATACATCAGGTAAGTGGACTATATCATCTAATAGGCTTTTGCCAGCATAGCATTACTTTTGTAAAATGGCAGGATTATAGCATTCTATACCATTGCTCATTTAAGCCTTATCCAAATCATCTCCATGCAGCTGTTTTCTCAGCTAAATTTAATATATTCGAAAAAAGTACTTTAACAAAAGAGGCAAGCCCAAAAATATGTTAGATATCACAAACTCTTAGTTTTATTCTGAATTTGGCACAGATTTCGAATGCTTGTTCAAATATCTTCCCTCCAATTATCACCTGAAAATATTTTAATTTTAGACGACGTCAATAAATCCAATGGCCTTATCTAAATACATATATCAGACTTGAGAGTGAAGGCAATTGCTTTTTAAGCCATTATTAAATTTTATTGCTTCGGTTTAGCGACTGCTGAGGGCATCTATAGATTTGTTTATCTGTTTCTATGTCTCTAGAGCTTAAAGTAATCGAGATATAATTTAATTTAAAAATTCAGCCTTAAATTAATTTAAAAGGAGTTTGGGAAAAATCTTTTTGAACTTAACGTATTATATCCGGTTTAGAATTCAGTATTAAGTCTGAAATAGTGTCAATGTACTACTTTATCAGCGTATCTACTCCCTTTGACTTGGATCAACTTAAATGGTCTTTTGAAAATATTTGACTTTAAATATGCCTATACTATCATTTTTGTGCGCCTTAGTTGAGTGACAGCCACTTCTTAAGGTCTCAACCTTATTTCATATGGAAAATTTCATAATTCACATGATGAAGACTCTGATAATGACTTTATTGTATACTCTTGGTTTTAGTCGACCGCATCAATGAACCCTTGCAACTCATTTCATGGAAGATACAGACAA